GGACACAGGGTTTCATGCAGTCTGTTAGGTTACACGTGAGCGTCAGGTTGTTGAAACGCCCCTTTCTTTGCTTACCCTGCCCCCCGAGACGACAATCAGTGGGAGCCACTCTTCCCACGCCACCTTTACCCCTAGAAGCCAAGGGAAGGGGGGTCAGTAGAAACGGGGGTGCCCCCAAGAAAGGGAACAGAGAGGCCAGTGTGGGGTACCCCAGCTGGTGCCCGGGCAGTGCTGGCCGAGGTTCCCATGGAGCAAATGGACTTCAGGCCAGAGGCCAGACCTGAGGGGCCTTTGGAGAGAAGGGACCCAAGTAGCAAGAGGCGGTGGGGTGCACTAGGGAGCCAAGAGGGGTTCCAGGACCTCACCCGCCTCCACTGCAGGTGAGGGAGGGGAGGAGGAGGAAGGAAAGGACAGACCACACCCCTCCCCGCCCCAAAGCCCTGGGCCCCAAGCATGACCCCAGCCTTGCTTAGGTTTATACCCGAGTTCAGCCCAAGTTCAAACTACCAGATAAGCCAGCCCACTCACATTCGGCCCCAAGTTCCCAGTGTGGGGCACCGTGTCCAGAGGCTCCCGAGCCCCACCGCTTGTGGTCAGCACCATCCAAGGGGCCCGCTCCCCAAGGAACACTCACCATGTTGAGGTTGGTGAGCACGTAGCGCTCAGTGTCCTCTTGGTGAGCCTGGTAGACGTCGGGGCCCACGGCCACCAGCAGCTCCAGGTGCAGGACCCTGCCGGCAGCCCATCTCCGGAGGCGAAGGCGAGGGGAAGGAGGACGGCCTGGTGAGGGAGGGGGCAGAGCTCAGAGCGAAGGTTCCAGAAAGCAGACGACCCATAGCTTTGGCCGCCCACGGCCAGGTCTTTCTTGGACTTGGAGACATGGTTGTGAGCTCTGTCCCTGCCACTTACCACCGTGGGTTTACGGAGTCAGGGGGCCCGGTCCCCAGCTTTCTCATGGGAAAGGTGGGGAGCAGGGAATGCCTGCTCCCAGGCGGGTGGGCGCCGAGTAAGAGGGCCTGTCCTGGACCCAGTCTCAGCTCCTACCTTGGGCCCTCCGGGAGCCGGCCTCTAGGCTTCTCCGAAATCAATGGTCTCAGAGAGCAGAGGGGCCCGAGCTGTTGAAAGTCACTTTATATTGGGACTGTCGGAAACAGTGGCAGCTGGCCCAAGAGGCTTCTGGGTCCTGGATTTCAGCCCACCCCCAAGGCCAGGTCCCATCAGCGACTAGCCATTTCGGAGCATTGAAAGGACCAGGTGGCAGGGCAGGGCCCAAGGAGGGAGCTGTCGTGTGGCTTTTACGTCCTTGGTGTCTTCCCAGAGTCCCACACTGGCTCTGCCCCCTTGATGTGTCCCCGCTCTGGGCACATGCTGGAGAACGGGGTCATCCCGAGACGAGCCCAAGACAGGACCCTGCTTGCACCCGGATGCAGCTGGGAGCCCGACGAGCAGGCCCGGGCAGCCGCAGAGCCAGCCATGCAAGCCCCGAGTGGCCACCTTCTGTCTTTGGGCCTCAGTGTTCCCATCTGTGGTATCGGATGTCCTGCCAGTCCCGGAGCTGGGAGACCCCAACAGCACATGTCTGTGAACGTGCTTTGTGATTGATGAGGGGCTGCTCGTAGGCTGGAGGCCTAGCTGTCCCCCTCTAGGACAGCTGGGGGCATGGCCGATGGCCACATGTCCCCCTGGCCTGCCCACTCCCCAGCATCCTGAAGAAGATGGCTCAGCCGGGCTTGTGGCATTCTGCACAGCCATCTGGGCACTGGGGAGAGCTGGCCCTCCCCCAGAGCTGTCCCCCTCTCCCAGGAGCCATACCTCGGATGACTTGGGGGGCCTCGGGGCTGGGCCTGTGGACCAGGTGGGGCTGCGCACGAACCCGGGGAGGCAGCAGCTCCCAATGCCGCCTCCTCACTGGCTGGACGCGGAACCTGTCTGCGCCCACCAGGATGTCGCCCTCCTGGAGGAGAGACAGCAGACAGGCACGTAGCCCACCGGCCCCACCGAGGGACAGGGCCTCTCTGGGACGTCACGCTCACCAAGTGGCCTGAGCAGTAGGTGACCCTGGCCACTGCGCCCAGGGGCAGCAGGGGGCAGCCTCCCGCGAAGCAGGGATGGGGAGGCCGCCTCTCAAGCCGGAGGGAGGCGTTCAGTACGTGCTCGCTGGTGAAGGAGGCGGTGAGGAGGCTCCGCTCCGGCGGGAAGGAGAAGGCAAAGAGCTGTCCCAGGGCGAGCAGAGAGCAGCTCGGGGCCCTGCAGGGAGGCCCCCCGGGCCCATCCTCACAGATGCAGGTGAGCGGGGCCATGTCGAATTGCAGCACTGCGGGACAGAGGAGACCACCTTGCTCCTCCCCTCCCCCCGGGGCTCAGCCCTCCGCGTCTTCCTGCCCTGGGGAGGGCCCCCCCCAACCGATCCGTTCCCTTTGGTGGGTGAGTGGGGCGCAGGGCTGGCCTGGAGCCCGAGAGGCCTGGGCTCAAATCCAGCTCCTCCCGGCATGCAGGGTGGTAGACGGAAAGTTTCCTCTCCAATTTGGGCCTCACCCCGGGGCAGACCAGCACTCAGCATGCGAGCCTCGCCCCAGAATAGGGTTTCCTGAGGGGTGGCCTGAACCCCAGCAGGCAAAGCAGGTACAGCCACAGCCTCTCTGGCCTTTATGGAAGAGCAGGTGCCCCAGGCCAGCCTCACCACCCTTCTCCACCGATCTGCCTCACAAAGCAGCCCCCAGGCCCCAGGAGGTCCCACCCCCAATCCCCAGGCAGCCCCGAGCAGTGCTCAATGTGCATGTGACCCAGGCCACAGGGAATTCAGTCACAGATGGGACATCCCCTACTGCTCTCCACCCTGACCGCTAGCCCACCCTGCCTCTGGTCCCCAACAGCCTTTACGTCAATGGCCTGACTTGGAAAAGGGGCTGGCACCCCAGCGAAGTCCGCAGGCACGGCCAAGAGCGACACGAGAGGCTCCGGCCGGAGCTTGAGCCAGCGCCTATCTCGTTTCTCACGGAAAGGATAAATAATTCCATTTCCGTCCGTGGCCAAAAGCCACAAGAGCTCCTGCAGCTTGGCCAGCCCAAGGGAGGCCCAGGGGCAAAAGGGACCAGCTAATTAGGAACCATTCCCTGGAGATATTGAGCAGAAGCCTGGGGTCAGAACCCCAGCTCGGTCCAGGACGCCCAGACCAGCTTTTATGGACTTGGCGGAAGTATGGAGTTAATAAGCAGGAACGATGGCAGCTTCTAGGACCTCCTCCCAAGCGGAGCTGAGATGCTTCCCCCCCTCCCCCCCCC